ACTTCTGAGCCTAGTGGCTAAATGCAGCTGAGGCATACAGACAGGCTTTCTGCAATCCTGTTGGTTCTGAGAATTGGCATCAGGGCAGAAAATTAAAAAAAACCCCAACATATTAACACCCTACTAAAGCAAAGGCTGTGACAAGTCAGATCTTTATCCGTCCCACCAGGCAGCAGCTCAGTCAGCACGTCAGCGGCCGGAGGCCATGCTGCTGCTCACCCAGCCGAACAGCTGGAGGTTCCTAGAGGAAGCCCAGCAATCCCACAGGGCAACGAATGACATGGGTAGGAGCTGGGAATGTCATGAAAGAGCTTAGGGAATTAAGCATCCAAAACCACAGGAAACAGATTGCATTAGTTTCACCATGACAGGTAGAGCATTCCTTTTTATTTAAAATAATCCTGTTGTAACCTGTTTTAGCACTACAAGAAATGCAGCAGCACAGTCCTTCTAATAAAGTGGTGTTTCTAACCTGTCTAATCACAAATTCAGTTGTTATTTTGACCCACTTTTCTTGGTTTCAGGGCCTGAATGCTAAGATAAATAATTGCTTTTCTGCAGGGTTTGTGACCCAGCTCATAACTGGTACCCATCTGAGGGAGCAACCATATGACTTGGATATCAACACATAGCTCAACAGCAACGCTACTGCATGATCAACATTAGTAAACTGAAGGCAATTCAGCTTGAGAACAAAAATGTTTATTTAATAAATAACTGTATACAAAGGAGCCAATTCTTTCTTAATTTTAGATTACTCAAGAATGGCTTATTGTCGTTAAAGGAATTAGCCCAGCTTCTGGCCAGTTAATGAAGCAGCTCTGGCTCTGTATGGGGAGTGTTAGAACCATTTACTTAAATACATTTCCTTCTCTGTCCTCCTATCCTCTGTTCTCACCTATCTAGTCCAAAATATTTGATGTGAATCCCTTCTTTCTAGAAGAGAGCCACAAGAGGAAAACTGGAGGCGACATAGGAACTACAAGAAAATACGACAGTTTTCCAGGCAGGGGAAGGGAAATAAATAAAAAAAAACCAAAGAGAGAGACTATTTGTCCTATGTGAAAGCCAGAGAGAGCCACAAGGTCTAGTATTTCACAAAAGCATTAATTTCCTTATCCCCAAACAAAAGATAAAGGTATCCTTGCATAGCTTCTCTAGAATAAACAGATATATCCAATGATCCTTGCCTCAGCCTACTAGTTTCAGCAACCTTTACTCCTTTTGTGAGTCAATTATCACCCTCAGTAACTCCTCAATGGTGAAATTAAGATATTTCAGTCTGGCAACTATCTGCTAAGCACTGTCCCTTCAATTAATAACTTGTGTAAGCTTCTCGGTTTATCTTAAAAAATGCCTTTAATATTACAAAACTTTAGTACAACATGGAAATGGACTTTATGGGGTTTTGATTTATGGCTGGATGCCACGAAAGCTTAGTGTTCTTTAAAAAAATGGGCCGTGACTCCTTTATTTCAAGGCCAGATAGTCTCCCAAATTGGTTTAGTTCTGGAAGGTCTTGAATAGAGTATGATTGTCTAAATTAGAGCATAAGAAAAAGGTAGAACAAGTGGAGAGGCCCCAAATGGCACCTGAACAGTAAGAATCTTGAAGACACATCCTACAAAGAAAGGATGACAGAAGTGGGTTTGTTGACTTTAGAAAAGAGAAAATTATAAAGCAAGATGATGATCCATTACTGTCCATGCTCATTACGGACAGGAAAAGAACTGCATCTTAAGCTACATCTGTCGAACTAGAGAAACCACTGAGATGGTGAAATGGTCATTTTGGTTTCCTTGGAATGTTATGTAATCTCCCCCATTTTTAAGATGTTAGGCAAACCGGGAAGGGACTATCTCTTTTTACTAGATCCTACCACAAAGGGAACAAGAGGGCTAAAAACCTTATATTAATAAGGTTAATAGCAATATGCAGACACTTGAGTATAATATTTTAGTATCTGACATTATTTTTCTTCTGTCTGTTGGACAGCCTTGAATTTAATTTTGTAACAGATGTAGGTGTTAATTCCCAAGGAATTTGAAACTGAAACTAAAATCTCCATTAATAAGCAGACTCTTCGCTACCAGGCATAATTGACTTACCTATTTTGAGCTAATGGCAGAAGACTAGATGCTTAGCCTTTGTCTCCTAATGTTTAGACTGTATTTCTTCCTGCTTTCGTTAGGCAGATACAAGGAAGTGTTGCAGAATCCCATTTAACACACACTTCTGGTGATGTTCACATTTTGTTTTCTGATTTTGATAGCAGACCTTAGAATTTGTATCTTTAATTTTTGGTTCGGTTTCTTTGCTGTTAATCCTAAATGCTGTGGTCTTTCTGTGACTCCAGTTCTTTTATGCACCCTGGAACAGGTGGCCTCACCATCCTCTTACGCAAATGGCTGGGGGACGAGGATTACGTACAAGGCAGTGGAAGAGAGAGCTCAAAGGCAGCCTCTGAAGAGGCTGGAGGTTTCACCCCAACGAAGTCCTGAAAGATTGGCATACGTGTCCAATGATTTTCACTATGACGGAGGGATTTCTACAGGATTCTCCATGAGGCATGGAGATAGCAGGAGATCCAGTGGGACTGTCCCACCAAGATATGCTCGGTCGGAGATTGTTGGTTACACTCTTCGTGATTCAAGGGGACGCTCTTTTAAGAGACACTCCCACATGGGGGCTATTAATGATGCCGTCCTTGATGGTGTTTACCCCAGCCCCACTGTACCTCTGTACCATCAAGCAGGCAACAGTCGCAGTATGACCAACCTTTTGGAGAAGGAGAACTACCTGACCTCGGGCAGTGCGATGGGACAAGTGAGATCACCAATTGCTTCCCGTTTGGGGTCTCAGAACAGGCAATCTTTAAGGTCCAACTGGTACCAAACTACTTTCAGAAGCACACAGACCAGGAGGGAGGCTTCCCAGCCAGCTTCAATAACCAGTTTCGCTGCAGAAACAGATGGGAAGAGGATGCCACTGACAGCTGCTGTGGCAGCAGCAGGGAGAAATGGTTTCCTGCAGAGTGAACAAGTCACCATCAATGGATCTCAGCTAGGGTAAGCACAATGCAGGACCTGCTTTGGTTTGGGGTGTCACAGCTGAAAGGAACCTGTTTGTTTAAAAAGAGAAAGTAAACTGACTGTTGGCTTGAGCTTATGGTTCAGCAACCAACACAGTGTATGAAATGTCAGTGCAGAGGATGCAGAAAGTAGATTTGCTTTTAAAAATACACTTCCAATGCAACAGAGGAAAGAGAGAAAAAATGTATGTGTATATACATACTGCAGGGTCCACACCTCCTGCTCAGGTTTGGGACCCCCTTTTGCCAAGAGTTAATCAATTTTATAACGAGACATGAAGTAGTCACTGAGTAATTTACAACCTAAGTCACAATACACAGTAATGTATTGGCAAATTTTGTGCTCATAAGAGCTGGATGATTTCAGCACTGGTTCTCATGAGAATAGGTCACAAATTTACCAGTGAAGCAGCTTTTGACAGATTGGCCATTCCCAGTTAAAAATCCTTCATGGTTTCAAGGAAACTTTTTAGGTTTTATAAACTTCACTTAAAACACAGACAGAAGTTTCTCTTAGCTCTGTAGCACCATCCATACCTACAACAAACATAAACTGCTCTGAATCTCAGGACCGCAGAGCTTCTCACTACCATGAGATCCTACATGGTCTAAAGACACTATCTTAGTTTGAAGCCCTGTTAGCTCCATGTTAGAAATTCCCAAAGCAAAGAAATCCCCCAGGCTTAGGAGAATTGTTTAATTGTTAGAAGCATTCTTTTTTTTTTCCAAATTACTTTTTCCCCCCCTGAAATTCCCTTCCATAGAAGATTTCAGAATGTCTAAAATCGGTTCCGTTTTCAAAAGAGAAAATTTATCACTTTTGAAATTCCCCTCAGAAGTGAATATTTTTTTCATTTTAGAATAATTCTGTTTCCAGAGCTCTTAAGGTTCAATGGACAGAACAAACCACAAACCATTTGGTAAACAAGAGATAGTTACTTGCACTGTTTACTGTGGGTTCTGTTGTTGTTTCATAATCCAAATAGGATCCCAAGGTTTGTTATGCAAGTTAATCATGGTGTAATTTATAACATTGTTATTAAGAAATACCTCTTTTTCCATAACTGTGTAGCTGTTAAGTTCATTTTTCTGAAGGCCACCTTTCTTCTTTTTCTAAATTTGCTACTGTGTGAGATGAGGCATCATCTGGTATCACTGCTACATACAGATCAGGTATTTTCTGTCATCAACTACATGTTGTATACATGTTGTATACATGTTGTATACATGTAGTTGCCCATGATGACATGCGTTATGACTAGATTTACAAACATATGGGCTTGTGCCCACATCTAATCTGGTTTGAAATTTTCACCTCTGGGTGATGCAGGAGTTAAGAGATCTGGTATTAGTGATGTGACTCTTAAGTATTCAGTCTCTACAGCAAGTTAGTCCAGAAAAAACAGCTGAGAGCTCACAACAGCTAAAGATTTGGGAGTAGTAATGTTGAAAATTGGTACCTTGGAGGACTTTGTTTCTCAGTAAGAATTTACAAACAGGCATATATCCCATTGATTTGATCATTGACTCAACTAAGCACATTCCTGAGTGCATTTCTCAGCCACAGCTCTCAACTGTGATGTTTAATTTTGTGTAGGAGCAATTTTGTTCTTCTTTTGCAGGTGCAGACACTGGAATCTGGTTGTCTGCCTGCACAAACATCAACCAAAGTGTTTTTCCTGTCTGCATTTGTAAACATCTGTCTTCAGTCATTGTGCAAGTTGCTTGCTTGAGATCATGCTGAACTCAGGTGGAAGATTTGCGACCTAATGGAAATCTTTCTGACAGCATAATTCCTTAAGTGCCGGTTTTTAGGTTTGGCTTTTGCTGGAAATTACAGAGGAAAACAATTGGAAATGCTGTGAAAGGCTCTGAAGTTCCCTTTGTAGATGTTTACGGATTTCGTTTATCTCAGTACTCCTATTTTATTTACTTGTACAGATCTTGTTTAGATTTTCAAATATCCTAGGTTCTACTTTAGTTTCACAGCTAGCTTTCTGCAGGACTGAAGGGCTCTTTATTCTACCCAATGTTTAAAAAAGTCTCTGTAAAATATAACAGCTTATATTAGTGAAGAGGCTGGTGAAAAGCAGCATGTAAGATACAGTTCCGTGAGAGATTTGCACCACTAGATTTTTAAATGATGAGGAAGAAACGTGTGTATGGTATCCACATACATTGATACCCTTTTCAGGCATCTAAAATACACGTTTAATAACTCCCCTTGTAATTCTCGCCACTGGAAGGGCTTGATGCAGAAGTCCTATTTTGATTGTAGTGTATTCTGGTTCATCCACATCTAGCTACAGCACAGTTTAATGTAGAATTAAGTATTTAAAACATAATAGGCCACATTTTGCTTTGGGGTATACACTGCTGTCAGTCAGAGATATTTCACTGAAGTCGATCATTCCACTAGTAGTATAATAATTTCTTCTAACAAGACTTCTCAGTTTAAGAAGTTAGTAGAGACTTTCACATTACTTGTCATTTCCCATTCTCTTTGATTTTAAGTTTGCATTATCTGATATACCACTCCCTTATCTGTTGCTCCCTTAATAATGGAAGCAGGACAAAAGGATAAGCCTGTTTTCTAAGTAATTTGATTTTTCCAGAAATTTGCAGTTTTTTATGCAAATCACAATTTAGGTCTTTCCAAGGTTAATTAAGAGGATGTAAAATAGCTGTGTAAGGTTAAAGAGAAGTAGTGGCCTAGCTGTATATAGTATTTGAAATGTATATAAACGCATTTTCAAAATTTCTGTAGAAGAATTAGCTCATGCTATGGAATAAAAGCAGAAAAATCAGAGTATGGAGATAATATCTCTGTATCTTCTGGTAAAGGGAAGCAATTAAAAGCATCCTCATATCAAAGGCTTAGGAGAGAGAGAGATTTAACATGAAGCTGAGAAACAGCTGCTTACCGAGTCTGACTTCTAGATGTGCTGAGAGGTGTCACAAAACGATCAGACAACACGGTGAAAAATGTGTTGTTCTTAAAAATATCTGAAAAATGTTATGTTCTGGCAATTAAGGTGAAGTCAGAACTTGCCGAATCATTGTTCTGTTTAACAGCCATTGCCTGAATGTCCATTTGATTGTTGTCATCACACATGCCAATCAGCCACGTGGCTATTAAGTTTGCCTGTAATCGTTTTGAGGCTAGGGTGGAATCATTGCACCAAATTCTATTTTGACAAGAGGTAGGGTGCTGCAACTTTATGAATACCATTGAGGGTCAAAGATTATATTGCATCCTTTATTACTGCAGATAAAACATTAGTGAATGTTGTTTTTGTCCAGTCAAGGGCAATCCTAGTATGGCAGTGTACAACAGGAGAGAAAGATTTTGGCTACTGCACATGAAGGAGTATCAGCCATGGAGGGATAACTCTGGTGAATGGCGGGCTGCTCTCAAGTCTCGGCGCAGATCTACCCGCCCAGCACTTAGAAATTTGATGTCTGGCTGTGCTTGTGTTTATCTCAGCCTGGCAGTGGCTGCTGATGGACCAGTACTACTCTGGGACATCCTTGGCGTTCTGAGGCTGCGTTCCCACATAGATTCTCTGGTGTCCCACGAGGGATCAGCTCATGCAGCAGTGTTGAACTTGGGAAGTGCGTGCGTAGAGTCCTTCTCTGCTGTTAGTCACTGAAAGGACTCAGAATTTAATACATTGGAGATGTCTGCCACTCTGTAGAAGGCAACTGAATTTGGTCACAGGGCTCCAAAGTTACTGCAGTGACTAACAGGCAGGTAGTCATGCTCACATGTGCCCATAAATAACATCGTCACAAAACCCTTGTTGATTTAAGAAACCTGACTAAAACCCAAGCTTGAAAAGCCTGTTTTTCTGTTCCACTTAGAAGAGAGTAAGGAGAAGAAATATGATCTGGCTTTTTTTCCATTATTCATTGTTCAAGATCTTTAAGTAGGATCAGTACATCTGACTTGCAACTTAGAGTAAGTTAGTAGCTACTTTGTTTTAAATCTAGGCTGAAGTAAACTGAAAGTCTGGAAGCTGTAAGCATTGCCAGCCCAGAGCCCGGGGCACCAGAGTTCAGCCGAACTTGACTTTGCTTTAACCTCTCCTTTGACATCCTCAACACACTGTCCCCTTCATTTCGTCTTTGTCTTGCACAAGCACCTTGTGCACCTATAGATGCAGCGTATTTGCTCAAAACACTAACTCAGAGGAGGGGAGAAGACAAGAAATAACATGATTTACACCGGAGGGAAATATAAAGGCAGGTGGAAATCTCAGGGTATGGGAGTATACTTTCATTTGCAACAAGTGCATCAAAACTGTTCTCCATTTCTTTGCTGTCCTTGCAGCCATACTAATGGTCTTTTGCCCCAGCAAAAGCAAGCAGCAGATGTTGATTTACAGTGTAGCTGTAAGGAAAAATTCCAACAAAATCCATTTTAGTCTCAGAGTTCATGAGTTCATCATAAATATTTTGGGGAAAAGAGTCGGATTTCTATGCATTTGTAGCAAGATTCCCTGTGAGAAATTTGCCTGATTTCTCCCTGGTTTGTCTACCTTGCTCCTCCACAGCCCATTCTGGACAAGCCTGGACTTCCAGGCTCTTTCGCTCCTGTCAGTCCATTGCTGAGACAGCCTCAGAGTTGAAGGACTGAGCGACTCCTGAAACACATCCTTTAGAAATGTTTCTTTTCTCAGTATCAAAACATTTTGTATTTCACTCTTCTGAACACTGTTTATTATTATTTAATATTCCTGCTTAGTTAAAAGAAAAAAAATCAAAATTGCAGTTTAAGCCAATTTATTTCCCACGCACCTATTTTAACATAAAAGCTAATTGTGTCAGAATTGTTAATTTTAGATGCACTTGCTGAGATGATTATCAAGTAAACCATTCTGATTTTGGTAACTCTGAAGTAGGGAGTTGTTGCCAACGACTACTTGTTTCACTGTGGTTCACAGACTGCCCTCTCGTCCCTGTCTGGCCAGCCTGGGATCTGGTTCCACAAAATTATTTGGTTTAAAAAAAGATAGAATACTCATGGTTTTGTCCAATCCCCCCCCCTGCTTTTTTTTCCCCCTCTAAATGGAGAGTATTTGAAACAAAAAGTAAATAAAAATACCGGGAAACATAATAACCTGTGCCAGAGCTAATGTACCTGATTGTGCCACGAATTGTTTTGTGTTACATTTACTGGGGAAAAATGGGTCTCATGACCTCTCTTTCCAATTTTTTATATGGTTGTCTAACACAATTATCATTTGAGCAAACATGCTGGAAGTTGGAAGGAAAATGGCCACACATATTTTTAATCCTACCACAGATGATGTACATAACTCGGTTTAATGAGTGGTGGTGTTATTTTGTCCCACCTGAAAAAAAGGCTTTGCCCATCTGTTTCAAACCAGAGCAAGTTCTGTAAGCTTGAAAAAAGCAGGTACTGAGCCCTGCATGTATGTAGTCTGGGACCTAGGAAACTGAAGAAAGGCATGAAAACAAATATAAAAAAGCAGTCATCACATTACTGAGAAAAACATCGAGGTATCTTCATGACCAGTAAAAGACACTCTGATTTGGTTATGACCTTCTTTGGATCTTAGTCCTTCATCCACTGATGTTTCCATTTTGTTTTTATAATTTGAAGCATGACTTGCTTTGTCCAGAGCCTCTCGTTGCTGCAACACTTCCATTTATGATTTTCTCTTCCCCCAGAATATAAGTGTCTTTTAAAGCTTTTATAATATTTTCTGCTACTGGAAAGAGAATAATTTTCTAAGAAAAGATAAAGTTACTTGAAAAGCGTGAAAATCTTGGTATTACGAGAAATTTCACAGGCTAAATGATGATTTTTCTGCAGTCTTGCTTCACTATATTTCCTCTGCCTGTACTTATAAGGAGCCCAGAAGGGGAGATGACTCTGGAGCGTGCAGTGAGCATACTGAAGAGTGAAAATACACAGTCCACACCTCGGATTCTTGCTGCAGTGACTTTCATACAGCATGAGTGCTTCCAGAAAGCAGATGCCAGAAGAAAAGTAAGTAATTATCTTTATGTGGGTCACAATCAGGTAGGGCAAATAACTTTCTGTACAGTATGGCACTGTGTGCCAACGTGAAAAAAAGACACTCCAAGAAACCTTGTAGGATACCCGATGTTGAATATTTTCTCTAGAATATGCTGATGCTTTTTGCTGCAGATTCTTTTAAATCAGTGAAATGGCACTGGTCTATGGTAGCAAAATTTTGGTCTCTAGCATTTTGTGATAGGAAACAGGGAAATGTAGGGTAAAAAGGAACATCAAGAATTCACACACAGCACCTGTAATTACCAATGTTTATGAATAACTTTTTTTTAAAAATCACATTGATTAGGAATCCACAAGCTCCTGCAGGTGGGCTAAGAGCTTTATTACCCTTACAAGTTATTCCTAAATTATGACTTAAATCTCCCTTTTGCAAACTGACTTGAGTAGTTTCTATCCTATCTTGAAGAATATGGAGAAAAATGTCTATTTTCTTTCCCTTTTATAATGGTTTTTCACATGTTTTATGGCTGTTAAGTGTATACCCACTTAGTCTGCTCTTTTCCAGGCTAAGCAAACATAGTTCTTTCAGCCTTTGTGAGTTAAGATATAGAGTCTGAATTTACTGTCAATATAATTGCTCTTGTCTCTCATTTTCAACTGGCATGCGTACACCATTGGTACAGAAATATCCCAGTAAATGGAAACTCTGGGAGTACAGTGCAAAGTTATCCAAGCTTCAGGGTTCACTGGGACTGTAAGAATGCGTTAATTCAATGTATGGATTAGCCAAACTGGTAAGGGCTTGCTGGGACTGCGCAAATGCATTAATACATTGTTTGGATTAACCAAAGTTGTTAAGTCTCTTACAAGAGACTTGTTAAGTTTCTTACAAGTTTCTTGAAAGGGCATGTTAAAAATATTCTCTTCTTTTCTTTGCATTTCACTATCGAACACAATTATAGTTCTCTTGCTGAGCAGTTCTGTACATTAATGTGTAAGGTGGTTGTTTATTTCAACCATTTAAAACAAATTATTACATCTACTTTGTTTCATAATTTGCTTGGTATTATTCATATGTAATCTCAGCCTTAACTCCATATTCATGTATATGCAGTCCAGTTCAGTGACAGCCAACCATCACTCAGTCCTTCGATAGTTTTAATTTGCCTCACAGTAGATCAAAGACTTTTTTTGAAAATACCACCAGTACAATTAGCAGCCTTAGCTTCAGTCTGAGGACAGAATTTCGGAAGTGAATGTCTGAATGTGGTTTACTATTCAAATCTCTGACAGGCAGCTTCCTTGAAAAACAAGTGGATGAGTAAAAGATTTCAAATTGGAGCAGTCAGCCTAAAGCCTTCTTCTATTTTCTTGTCTCTCACACATATCCTAGCTGAGTTTTTCTGTTTGGTGCCCATCAGACTTGTTCATGTTGGCATTGTCTTGTTTCCCTTTTTTAGCCTTTCAGTTTGCATTCCTTTTCTTTGTCTCCTGATGCTTAGTTTCCTGATACTTGATAGTTTGTGGGTCTAGTGACTTATCTTTTTCTTGTGAACTTGTGGTCTTAACAGTATTTTGGTGAATTTTGTCTGCCGGTAAAAATTTAGAAAGACCAATGAATAGCTTTTGTAAATTCTCCTCTGCACATTAGGTCAAAATAGCACCATTTCTTTTACAAGAGCTATATAAATCCCTTAAAATTACCAACAGAAAGTCTGCATAAATGTTTAAAAAAACCAGCCACCTACAGTATTGGTGTCAAAAAGGCTTATCTACTGTAATAAAATACGTTGATGTGCCTTCAGCATGCCCTGTGCTCCATTTACCTCAAGATACATATTTCTGTATTTCGTTCTGCTAGCATCTAGATGATTGCTGAATGAATGCAGGGACAATCAGGTCAGCAGTGCAGTAGCAAGAAACTGTGCCTTTTGTACAACTGAATTAGAGGAAAGGCAGGCAGGCAGGGTAGTTTGCCAGGGCATGAAGGGCAAAAGTCTTGGTTACATTTCATTTCTTCATGTTGCCAACACCTGTTGGTCATAGTGAGTTCTTTTTATCATTAAACTCCGGACTACTCAAAACAGTTGTATCGGATTTCTAAGTCTTTCACATGCTGTTGATTCTACACAAGGGTGAGTTTGTCCATAAAATCAGATTGTATTTGAGATGCTGGAGGAAACCATCCTCCATTGTACATGGATGTAAGGTGTTTTCCGTAGTAAACTGATTCCTACATGAGCTAAGACTTGCTTGTGCCACATCATAGCTTATATGGGATTCATCATTTGCCACAACATGTAGAACTTGGAAACTATTTGTTTCTGTACAGCTGCTGTAAAATAACATCTTCTTAATTCTTCATTCATTTGGGGCCAAACCTCATTTTCTAAAGAATTAGACATTGAAGAGTAGTCTTTGTTAAATGTGGGTGGTTCCGTAGTAAACTAGCTTGCAACATTTAACGATCTACATTTTGAAGTTTACTAATTTACTATTTTTTTATCAGTATGCCACAGATAAGAAGTATTAAGTATAATGTATTCTTATTTAATACACTTTCAATATATGCACAGAAGTTAACAGAGAAAAATATTGTCTTTCTATCAGGCTGGCTGCTGAGAAAAAACCACAAACTTGGCACATCAGGAACATTTTACATCCAGAAATCTCAAAGCAGTTTATAAATGTTCCAGAGTTAAATTTCAAATATCCATGTCACCAACATGGAAGCTAAAATACAGAGCAATTAAATGTCTTGTCAGAGAGTACAAATCTGCAGCAAAGCTGGAAGAGTTTTAATTCCATTCTTTTACATTAATTATTAAAATATGATGCCTCCCTTAGTTGTGGATTTTAACTATGACTCTTATGAAAGCCCAGAAGTTAACAGTCGTCCAACTGATTAATGATCTGTACTTCAAGTCTTTCAAATAGGAGCAACAGAAAAAAGTCCCTATGACTGTTTAAAGGTTTTCTGCAGGGAAGGGTGGAGTTTGTCATTGACAGTAACTAACTGTTCTCTGCTGTGTTTTGTGTTCCTTGCAGGTTTTCTCGCTTGGTGGTATCCCCAGACTTTTACAGCTTCTTGACGTTCAGAACGAGGACATTCAGCGGGCAGCGTGTGGTGCTCTGAGAAACTTGGTGTTTGAGGACAATGACAACAAACTGGAGGTGTCAGAGCAGAAAGGGATCCCACTCTTGCTCCGCCTACTCCGACACACCAGGGATGTAGAGACTAAAAAGCAAATAACAGGTAGTGTTTTCTGTGCAGTCAATCATGACGTGTTTTGAGTAGTGCACAAGCTTTCTGTGTAGGGTACATGATTGTTTACTTAGGCCAATGTTTCATGACTAAATAAAAGAACATTGTCACCTATCTAAGCCCTTCCCTTAGGGTGAAATTCTAAGGTCCTTACTCAAGACCAGACTTTAAGACAGTAAGAAGAGACTAGGAACTGCAACTTACCCTCTTAAAGCTTCTTCAGAAGTGACGTGAGTTTCTTTGCAAGAAGCTTGCAGTCCTTGGTGCTCCAGAAAAGAAAGTGAGGCTCCAGATAGCAATTTCTTTAGAACCATTTTGGTGAGCAGTGATCAGAGCAGTCCCAGAAGTGCCTGGGACCATAATTAATGCCCACTACTTATGCAGCAGCTCAGCCCTCACTTTTTGACACAATGCTGCGGGTGCATACTGCAAGCAACTTGTTGAAGACTGTCCCCCAGAACTGTCAGGAGCTGTGGATAGAAAGTGGGTGTCCTACTCCCCACAATTTCTATTCTCACTCCTAACAGTTTACACCCCAGAGTCTGTCTTCTCAGATCTGTTACAAGCAGAAAACACTGCCACAACAACACTGTGCTTCTTTTCCATGTCCAGGGCATCCATTTGACTGTAGAGATCATACAGCACCATCAGTAGAGTGACCTGCATTCTGGATTCAGTCTTTGCAGGGCTTATGTTCTCGTCCTTTTAGTTCCAATGTCCTTGAGGAAGAACTCTTAAAAATGAGTAGAGCCCATTGCAATTTTGAAGGAAGAGCCTTTTGGATCAGAAACCCTATATTACACCTCTTGATGCAGAAGGAACAGCGGGAGGAAAGGTCCACTGCTTAGAACCATGGAATCATAGAACGGTTTGGGTTGGAAGGGACCTTAAAGATCATCTAGTTCCAACCCCCCTGCCATCGGCCGGGACACCTTCCACTAGACCAGATTGCTCAAAGCCCCATCCAACCTGACCTTGAACACTTCTAGGGATGGGGCATCCACAACTTCTCTGATCAACTGGTTCAACTCTGATCAACTCTGATCACCCTCATAGTGAAGAAGCATCTCACAAAGAAATCTGTGGTTACTGCCCTGTACAGCAGTACAGCCCTTTGCAGCAGCCAGTTGAGAAATGCCCACCACTTCATCCCTGCAGTCATGTTTGACCACAGCGTGTCTCTAGGAAGTCTACCACTTGTGAGCCGCATTCATTCTAGTTAACATGCAAAGGGAGAGCACACTTGTATTTTATAAATGGAAGAAAACATTATGAATAAATGAATGGGGGCTTATTTCAAGTGATCTTTAAAGATATCAGGAACACAAACTACTAAAATAACAGTGCTTGAAAAGATAGAGAAGGTGTCAAGCAGCCCTGCCTTGAAGCAAAGGCATGTTGAGACCTTCTGTAATTCTGCATTCTTTTAAGTATTTGAAATACTGATGGAGAACAAAGCTTTGTATTGTTGGCTCTTTTGGCTCAGTTCTACAGCTCTGCAACATTAAAATGTTTTACAGCTTTTCACATTCATTAGATGCAGAATAGGGTCATTTAGCAACTTATTGCATAGTGTGTTGTCTCTCAGTGCTATTACACACCAGCGAGGGAAGCAGTGAAAATGGTGGTACAGTGGCCAGAGAACTAATGCTTTCCTTGCTAGCAATTTCATCATTTCTGACAAGAGCTTTGACTGTTTATGCAGGATAACTCACAAGGATGTTGTGAATATCACTGTCTTCCCCTTCACCAGTGAGAAAATGGATGAAGGGGCACCTTCTTTCTGCAATTACTGCTATCATTGATCATTAATATTTACTTCTGAAACATACAAGACACCAACAAAATATTTAAGCAATATTGAGCAGGATGGTGTAGTTTGCATAAAGCAAAATGTTCTGATATACTTTCATGTCTATTAGCTGCAAGGGATGGCTTTAAAAATACAGGAAAATATTAAGTATTTTTTGCTTTGTTCAAGACCAAATGTGCAATTAGGAGGAAGTATGCTGGGTCCCTTGGTGAAAATGGCACTACGGCATAATTTTTGCCATCACTTGAGGAATTCTTCCAGCTCCCTAGCAAGCTGCAAGGAGCCCACAGGGGAAAGAGCAGCCTGGCTGAATGAATTTCTATGAGAATATTAACTTTGCTTCCAGCCACTTTCTTTCCCAGCCCATGCTTCAAAGGCAGGCAAGGAGCAGGCTGCAGACAGGAGGTAGACAGTCACTGTTAAGCATATGCTTACTAAGGTCAGTGCTTCCAGATCATCTTGGCATGTAGAGCAATATCTAGGGAACACTGGAATTACTGTCCTGTCCTGACTATGTAGCCCGAGAAGGGCTGCAACATAAGGCTTTTCCAAGCACAGTGCAAACCTCTGAGTGCCTTTCTACCAAAATGGTTAAACCCGGCTGAGCAAGTTCTCTGTCTGACTGTCGGCTCACCTACAAGTTTTGTTTCTCCTCGTGCATTGCCTTTGGTTTCCTACAGGACTACTGGAGTATCATAGCTATGCATGCAATCGCTCTGCAGTGTTGTAACACTTCCAAGAAAAGGTGAATGAAGAACCTTTGGGCTTCCACCTGCTCAGCATAAGAAACCCATCTATCTTTCCGCATCGTACTTATTACTTTCCTACTTTGACTGTAAATTAGAGACTTCCAAATGTGTGATATGATAATTAGTTGAATGTCTTCTCCATAAAAGATAACTAAAATAATCTTGGTACCTGATAATACCACACTGAACTCTGGCGAAAGACTCCTGGCCAAAGATTGAAAGCATGAGATACTCATTAATAAAGATGTCTAAGCTCAGCAGAGGAAAGCTGTTTGTCTCTGCTGCTGTGTAGGAAGCATGGAACCAAAGCACTCCACCTGACAAAAATACCTGAAGATAAGAAAGTTGTTGGAGAGAAGGAAGTTAAAACTCTGAGGCACAGAAGTTTTCTCATACCGTACTTCATTACCTGTCAGAAATACAATCTAATACTTGTGCACATGAGATAAAGTACATTTCAGCCTGAGAAGCTTATCTTTAAGGTCACTGGCTTATTAGTACTAGCAGTGTTAATACAGACAAACACTTGCCCAATATCAAACCGTATCATGTATTCCCAAATATCGATGGCCTCTGTTTTCTTCTGACCTGTTGTACTGACCCTCCCTCCTCTTTCTTTCTCTCTCACTGTGCAGAGAGGAAGTAAAAAGCCAATAACAGAAAAGTAGGGAAAATCTCTCCCAAGATCAAAAACGTGACTCCCTTGTATTGATTTCACCACACAGAAGAACCTGTAGCTGCTCATCTCTTTGTATACGCTCCCATAGGCGTACCAGAAATGCAGATACAGGCCAAGACATAGGCTGAGAATACAGTCTGAGTATGGCCATGCAGCGTGCCTTGTAACATCCTATGAAAAAACTGAAAGCAATGAAATGTATGGAGATAAATGCTGATTATAGCAAGTGCTGTGTCCTGCCTCGCAGTCTGTGCATCCCAGGACAACACACAAAAAGCGCCAAACCAGGACCCCTACCAAAGTGCCTTTGTGCTTATGACAGTGGTTTGAAAGCTGCCATGGACCAGGTTTCCTATTGCCCATGCGCAGGAAATAGCTGCTTGGTTTCTCTGTGCAGTTTCTGTGCTTATGTGACTTCTTCTTAGGGGGGGAATGAGACCTCCTCGAGGTCAGGTTGACTGGATTTGCTAGCTTCATCAAATCGTTGATACAAGTAAAGAAAAGGAACCATAGGCTCTGTCCTTTGTTTGACATACAAACAAGCTTCTTGCAAATCTCTTGGGAAAGGAATGAGGTTACTCCTGAGTAGTAGGAGAGTATGTCACTTGGAGACAATGCAGGAGCCAAGACAGGAATGGCATTTTGTAGTATTTGGAGAGCACGCTGAGGAACAGTAAGTAGAATGGCTGTGGCATGAAAAAAACAAAACGATTAGCTTTTGAAGGTAAGCCAGATGAGCCTGCAGGGAGTATCTAACCTCTTGATCATGTTATCATGCAGCATAAATCTAAGAAATGAAAGAAAATTTTTCCTGCAGGGAAGATTACAGCACAAACAGAACTGTCATTAACAGAAATATAAATGTAAAAGGAGACCCCACCCATTTTCCCAAATAACCATCTAAGGGAAAACTATGCCCTTATGAATACATTACAGAATAGCTACAAGGAAGGAGCCCACTCCTAAAGACATTTTCTATTGTGAACAAATTCACCCACACCCAGAATGCCACGGAGAGAATCCTTCTGAGCCCAGTGAGACAGTGCCTGTGGGTAAAGGTAGAATTTTTGTTGGAAAATTTACAGTGTGAGCAACATCTCAACTTCTGTTCTGACAATTCTATTCTAGGTATCTGTCTATTATTCAAAATGCACTTGTTCCTTTTAATATGATATTTTGTCCTTGTGCCCTCACATTTGTGCCATTCTGTCTTAACCTCCTCCCTTACCAGTGTCCTTTGGACCGTATATCTGATTTTCTATAAGCCTTACTTATCCTTCAGGAAACTGCATTCTCCCTTTTATCCCCTAACTCGGAGACTGAAGACCTGATCCCAGCAGAAGGAATGGGCTGCTTCTGGCTGGCTTTTGTTTTGATTTTACTATTGTTCACAATAGCTGTAATTAAATTCAAAGTGTAAGGAGATACAAAAGAAACATTTTTTTGTTGTGAACTGATGAAAGGAACATTCACTAATACTCTGCCAGTGTTTGGAGGAGGAGGTCTGTGAAACTTAGAGCAGCAAGCTGGGGAAACAATGAATGCCTTTGTAGTGAAAAGTAGAAATACTTGTCTTTTTCCAGGGGAAGAGTACTTTAAAAAGAATTGTCACCTGTTGGAATAGAACATAAGCAAAGCTAACCAATTTAACAAGACTATGTTTGAGATTTATTTCGGTGTTTGGAGATAGTGAGTTGACAATGTATATAGCATTACTTAATGATTTGTCTAGTGACAGATGTCTGGAGAGTAACAGCCAACCAGCGTTTAACAGTTTTCCCTCCTATGAAGAATTTTGTTATCCAGTGTTAGAGAAACTTGGTAATGGGCATCTCCTGTCTTCCAGCAGATTTCCAAAGACCTGTAAACTCACTCTCTGTACATCCCATCTACCCTCTTTGCATGTGAGTTTATTCTCCAGCTCATTAGTCCTTACTTGATAGTAGGAAGTGCAGCTAGTCCTGCGAGGCATCCAGAAGGGATGAATTCCTCCCTGGAAGTGTGGGGAACGATCACTAGCGTCAGTGGTGTTAGCTCTATTCAGCTTGTGTTACTTTGGTAATGGAGAAGATGGTTGCTGCGGATTCAGAGCCATGGAAAACTGCGTTTCTCAGTCAGGCATTTGAATATATGGAGATCTGACTTTATTTACGTGCCTAATTATGCCCCTTTTTTTACCCCGTTTCTATCTCCTCACATCAGGGCTGGTGAACTGTTACCACCGTCTTCTGCTCCTCTTCAGGTTATCAAGTGCCAGGCAGGCTCCTTCACTCATTAACTTCAAGGAGTTTGAGATTAGCTCTTTCAAACTGTGGGGGGAGTCTTTTTGCTGCTCTGATATTATTTTGGATATTGCAGGTTTGTTGTGGAATTTGTCCTCCAATGACCAGCTGAAGAACCTGTTGATTAGAGAAGCCCTGCAGACACTGACCGAAGCTGTTCTCATCCCTTACTCTGGTTGGCCAGATCGAGATTACCCAAAGTCAAGTGTTTTATCTGACCCTGATATCTTCTATAATGCCACAGGATGCTTGAGGTGAGCACTTAGTCTACAAGCACCCAAAACAACAGTGATGATAAAACAGGCTGCACACTTGCTTGCTTGCTTGCTTTGAACTTTGATGGCTCCACGAGAAAAGTTTGCATACAGATCATATTTTGAAATATGGCTTCATGCATATCAGACCAAAAGAATTACTGCTTAATACAATGAAAACAACTTTCTTTTTAAGGCTCCTATATATTAATTTGATGGGTACTCCACGGACTAAGTATATCCATAATGGAACATAGTAATCAGAGGCCTGGTTGCAGTGCATAATTGCATTGAAGTCAAACAGATACTTCATTGAATAACAGATGTTGGTATAATGTATAAAATTAGCCCCTGACTGATGGTCATAGTAGTAACAACAAAGCTTTTTTAAACAGTTGTAGGAATGGTATTACAAATTAGCACTGGAGAAGAGCTGACAGTAACTTGAAAGGAACTTGAAACTTGTGTGAGCGTTTTAAAGTTATTTTAAGACTCTAGTGCAGCGGTCTCCAAACCTTTTTGATCATACACCTCTATGAGTAAAAAGCTTTTGAGAACACTCCCTCAGTATATGTATATTTATCTATTTATAAATTATATACATGTACTACTGTACTCATATATTATGTACATTATAAAACATACATAAAAACATAAATTAGAAACGGTGCCTCCATTTAGAGAATTTGATTGTATGTAAACAAGAAACTAGCCTTCTATGAAGAGCAAAGAAAATTCACTATATTCACATATTACTGTTTCAGCGTAGCCTCAACAGAAATTTGCTGTCATGTATGTTTTGTTCAAGCAGCAGTGATGTTGTTTGCAGTGCATGACTCGTTGTGAGCAGTTCTTTTGAGCACAGTCTCTGGTTCAGACACCCAGGAGCGTTAGCATTTCCTGTAAGAACCACAAAGTTGGCAGCTTTCTCTCACAATTTCCTCCCTTTGCTGTTTTTTTTTATTTTTACTTTTTCACTGTTCTATAGCCCTGTAAGTTCCATTTGCGCTACCAAAAGACTAACATATGTGAAGGATTAGTTCTGGTGTCGTAGGTCCATCAGTGGGACAACTGAAGTGCTCTTGTACCTTGAATTTTCTTTCCAGAGACTGAACAAGTCATTTTCACCTACGGCAGCATTAGCTTTTAATGGGACCACAGTGTTTTCTGCCATTTGTGTTGGGTAAGTTCTGCTCACCTGCTGTAATGCGTGCTGAGTCCAACCAGCTTTACCAGGCATGGGAGCAGTCCTTTGGGTGGTAAGCACAACATGCTCAGCGGTGACTAAGTCACTCTTTTCTTCTACTCAGCATACAAACCACAACTAATAGTTATATTTGGTACCATCTCCAAGGACCCTTCGGTTAAATATATAGAGTTAAATTCAAGTCACAATCACTTCTCTTCTAAATAGACAATTTGTAAAGGGGATACGGTACATAAAAGCACACAGAAGTGTTCAGTTTTCAGCTGCTGCCAAAGATGCTTGCTTTGATGTATCATAAACTATAGCTACACTGGTTAGAAAATTACTTAACCTAAATTGGGGGAAAAAAAACCCATCTTTTAAACGTTGGAAGTAAGCCCTGTCCAACTTTTTCAACAAGTTCAAATAAATTGAGACCATGCAGCCATGGGGTGAATGAATAGATTTACAGTTGTGTACCTACTACTACAGTCAGCTAATACTCATTAGTAGTAGCAGCTACTACAAAGAAATACCAAAGGCCTCAGTAAACACACCTCTAAATGACTAAGGTATAAAAACCTCATCTTTTAGTAAAAATACCTTTAAAAATAACAGTCCATAAAACTGTGGCCCTTTGTGCTTGTGAGTTCAAAGTCATTGCATGTTAAAAAACCACAAATGCGAGTATTGGAGATACATGTCTTTTGTTTACACATTCAAAAATGCATGAAAGGACAAAGTTTGAAATATTTAAAGCGTAATGTATGAGTGCAACAGCATGGCCTAAGTTTTAAACTCTTCTTAATAAAGTACAAGGAATTAAGTTTGAAATTTGAAGGCTGGGAAGCCGCTCAGTTTTGCTTTACACACATCTGTTTTGCTAACATCTCCTATAGCAGAGTAGTTGTATCTGTACTACATGAATTTTTACTGTGTAAATGGCTCTGTATCTGACTCATGGGTGGTTTCAGAGGACAAATGAATTGTTAGCTATACAAAATATTCAACAATAAAGCAGCTTTTTCTGCAGGAACTCCTGTCAGCCTACTAACTGCTAATTAACTTAATCTCTAAGTAATAATTAACTTTTATTTACTCTGATGGCTCAAAAGCAAATACAGAGGAACATTAACTACCCATAATAAAACCTCTCTAGCTAACGCTAGTGGTATTGTCTATGGAATGAAGCAGGTTGTCTCTTTTCACGTTAATTAGCCCAGGCTGCATTGGTACAGAAACCAGTCTGGCTGTTAGCGGTGCCGCTCTGCGGTGGCATGACCTGCTCCTCTCCTGTGGCTGGACTCTGGAAGCCCCTCTTCCCTGTGCACCAGCGCGCAGGATCACCCTCCGTTTTAGCGCGGTATTACTCTTATTTCCGAGCTTGTTGCAGCCGCTTGACATGACTTGATATGAGACCAATAAGGAGTAACACTAGCTGAGTTGTTTTAAATTAAATAAAAGTAGATTCTCAACATACCTTACTCTGTACAGTAAGTCAATGAGTGGGGCTGCTCCAGAGCTGCAGTTAGCTCTGCAGCCTCAATGAAAAGTCTCCCAAACTGCCCTTATCAAGATGTCCAAGGATACATTACCTATTTTAAAAATGATGTCCATATTCTAGTCCTTCTCACTTTTAAGAGCTTGGACACTAAAAATTATAACTGAGAGGAGAACAAGAAGGGCTTGAAAATTCACAGCTAAAGTTGATCTGCAGGATTGCCAACATACATTCTAGCCAAGGATAGTTTTTAATGAGGCTTACTGTATTTGTACAGAACAAATATCTGAAATTTTTAAAATGCGTCAGTTTGCTTCTCTGTATTGGAAATCAACGCACCTCCCAAATTAGGTCACTAGAAGCATTCCTTCCTAGTTTAAAAAAAAATCTCTGCACAAAGTAGTGCTGAAAACTAAAAGAAGAGCACACCACAAAATAAAAAACTGTGCACTGAGGGAATGATGTTACTAATGAAGATGTTTAAAGAGTATATGTATTTGCCAGAATATAAATCTGTAATTAGTCTCCCCTTTTGTAATACTAGCATGTTTGTTGTGCATGTTGATAAAGTCTATAGCCTGCAGCTTCTATTGCAGTGTCAAAATAGTACTTTGAAGTGCAATACATTATGCATAGTACTGTACTTAGTTATAGGAGAATGCCAAAACTTATTTTCAAAACTTTACACACACCTATTGACTGACAGGGACACCCACAGTCCAAATCTAACACTCATCTGACGTGGGTGTCTGCACTGTGCCACACAGTTACCAGCTGGTAAATTAAAGCTCTCTTTATCCCCTTTGACAGAATTTCAGGAGAAGTGAATCCACATCTAGCAGATAATATTGCAGATATTAACACTGCAATGAGTGAACAACTAGAAAACTCCCCATTCTGCTAACCAGTTACCGCAACAAGTATTGTGAAGTCCTGAATTTCGGCTGCCGCTGTCAGTGTATGTAGTCACTGATAAGGAAGTCTGACATCAGAAGGATTTCTTAATCCCATTCTCTAGGTCTGTAATTTGTCTTAAAGCTTTGCTTCTGACACAGTTTTACAGAAATCATGGGTCACAAAACTTAATATAATAAAAAGAAGCGGTGTACACCACACAATTCTGCATTAGCAGTTAGAATAAGTAATGGTATTTTTCAGTCCCGAAATATGATAAAAAGCACTGTGCCCTGAACAGGCAAAATAAGCCAAATCAAAAGACTTTGCTGGTTGCCTGCCAACAAACTGAACAAGTGAAATTGGTGTATTAAACTATCTAGAGGAGTATTGCAGACTTCTGCAGACAGTCTTGTTGGATTTTAAAGGTAAAGTCACTTTTTCTTTGCCTGAAAGTTCTACGCATAATACTTCTGTCTCCAGTTCCAATATAAATGGGTAGAAATCTTCAAGATACTTAGCCTCCTCCTCCATACTCCTTCTCTGAGTCTGAAAGGGTGCCAACAGCATGCAGAATAAATGGGTTTGAATATTATTTATATACATAGCTGAATTTCTGGCGTGATTCTTCCTCTGATTAAAAGGAAGGCTTAGCAGAAGGCTGGCTATATTATACCTTGAAAGCTGATAATGATCTTGTTCCATTTTTACCTTGAAATACCTGTTCCCAAAAGTTCTGCAATGCTGAACTTTACAAAACTTATGTTTAGTGGTCACTGTTCCTCCAGCAAAACATTTCATTTAAGCGTTGGAGCTAGTGATCGCAACTGCTGTGTTTTATTACAGAGCCTTCCGTTTTAATTGCTCTGTAACTGGAGCATCCCTGTGGCCCTGTGCATCCTAATTCTTTCTAGGCTAAATCCTAAAACTAGGCTCATCCTAAAACTTTCTAGGCAACTATCTCCACAAAAGTCAGCTAACCTCTCTGTTCCTAGTTCCCCAGCCAGCAAAGTAGAAGTTATGCTTCGTTTTTCATTATTATTTTTCACCCTTTGTCTGTCCCAGCTCCCTTTTAAGCTCTTTGTGAATTACACAGTGACCCGTAGGGATGGTGGAAAGCTGTAGTTGGAGGAAGTAGTAACATTGCACTTCAGATCAGGAGGTTGCATAAACATCTACTTCCATTTGCTCTGGAGAGAAGTGAAGCCAAAGCTCTCAGGGTGTGTTGAAAAGCATAATGTCAGCTCAATTTCATAATGGAAGCTTCTAAGAGAGAATGTAAAACAAATGACTGATGATAACAACTCTTTGAACCAAGGTCTCTTGCATAGCATTGCCATTCCTTTAAGTTTATTTCCATCCATTCTTATCTTCTCTTGCCTCCTCTTTAGTTTATCTGCTCCCCCAATTCCTGAAAGGAATTTTGTTATTTCCAGCAAGCGTCTTGCAGCTTGGAGCCTGTAGTTACTGAGTAGATCCCTGGAAACCTTTCCCTCCTTGTTGCATTTTTGAACTGTGTAATGCATGAAAGGAATAGAATTTCCCAAACTACTTCACAAATCGTTATCACATAATTGGGTTAAACTCAAATTACCAGCTTTAGCAGAATGAGTCTCAGGAGCAAAAGGCCTCTTCTTATCCGTTGTGTGGATCATTCACAGTAGTGTAAAACCTTTTCCAACACAGTTGGCCGGTGTGTGACTCAGCGCTGGCTTAAAGGGAGTATCCCTTTCATATAGAGCCATTTGCAATCTAACTGAACATATATTATCCTTCTGTTTCTTCCAAAAACCACACTCGATTTTACTGTGTTACATTTTCTTGTATTTACCTCACATCTCTGGATCAAAACAATATTTCCCAATAGGGAATGAGCTGATCCTCCACAAACATCACAGGCACATGGGCAAACGGCTATTTTGGTTACAGATATAGTTACACCATGCATGTGTGCAAGAGGAAACAAAAGCAGCAAATACGGGGTGAGATAAACGAGGCACGTAGAGAGATATGATGCATCCACAGTAGCATGTGGTATAGTTTGGGCATGTCACCAGGATTAGCATATTTAAGCATACCAGAAGTCAGAGATTTTTAATAGTTAAGATGATCCCAAGATGTTAAGCTCTGAGTCATTCAAAGGAGACCATCCCTACAAGCAGCAGTCTCCCTGAGGCTGCATTCTCCCCATGCTGCGTTCTCCCAACCCTTCAATACCGACACAGGGTAGAGACATCAGGAACTGTGTAGCAGAAGAGTTTCTATATGAGAAGACTCTTGATCTTGACTCCAGCTGATCCTTTTTTCCACAGAAGTATTTGTCTGAGTGTACTTCTGACAAAATGCCAGTAAAACAAACTTGCACGGCAGATTTGAAGATTTCTAGGTAGCCCCGAAGTCTCACCATGGGTGTTGCCACGAGCCACAATAGTGGGCCAGCCCAACCATGGCAATCGCCCAAGTGCTGAGTATTTCAAGGCCTCCAGGAGCTCCACTACAAGGGATTCCAGCTCCTGCGTTCAGAGGAAGACATTCCAGTTGTCAAGAACCTCAAATCTTGGGAAGCCAAGATGAAGTCAGTTTTGCAATTTTCTAAGCAAAATGTTGCCATTGCTTCAAAATCTTTTTTTTTTTTTTAATTTACATTTCTGTGACACTTCTCAGATTATTAGATTTTTCCCAATCTAATAATATTTTTATTTCCTGGAATTTCTCAAGCTTTAATTATCAAAGTTAAACTGTCAGCAGAGGTTTTGCCTGAAATGCTCTTCTGAGCATTCAGCTCAGAACCAAACCAGCTTCAACCACCTCTGACCCTAACCAGAGTAAGGTGGTTACAACTGTAACTGGGCAAGTGGGAGAGCAGGAGCTCTTCCCTTCCCAGTCCACGTTGTGGTGATAAGGAAACAGGGAAACGTGGAGAATGCAGTGGCCGTACGTGTACAGACACACACCGATGTCTCTGACTGGGTGAACAGTTGAGCATCAGCTGCTTAATGAAACAGAGTTCAGCAATTCCCTTCCTTTGCGGAGCAGGACGGTGCCTCTGATTCAGGCTCTTCTCTGCCTCCTGAGCTATAAAGCTATGTGCCCCACCATATTCAAGCTAGACAGCAAAGGTCAGCTGATGGCCTCTCCTTGCACAGCCGTTCAGCATGATCGTAGTTGTCAAAAGTTCAGGGATTTTGAGAATAACAGACTGGGACAAAACAAAATACTGTATCAAGCGAAGTGCCTTTGATGAGGGAAATTCCACACTTATCTTTTAATAGTATTTTTAGTCTGTGTGCCTCAGAAACTATTTTTGCTATGCGCTAGAAGGGCTGTAGCATGTACATTTCTGTCAGTATAACCATAAACATATGAGAGGATGACATGCCTCAAATGTGACATATATAGGTAATATTAAATTCCAAAGTGATGTCTGTAGTAGGCCAAATTGAGGAATCTGAATATTGATTCATAAATAAGGATATTGATTCATAATAGGGATCTAAATATTGATTCATAAATAGGGATATTGTTAACAGCATGACCTAAAGTAAAACTATAATTACAATGCGTTAGTATTTAATCTGAATATGTACTTCTCGGGGAGGGGTGGGGAACAGAACTGCATTCACAGTATATAAAACATTAGCTTCATTTTACAGTCGTAAGCCACAGGAAAGTTTAAAGCTGTACCTTACTGGCTTTGTTGTTAATAAAATTTTAAACCATTATAATTTCCAGTGGCTAAAGTAAGCATGCAAAATAAACACCCTGAAACTATCTAAAGGAACCTGCCCCTCTTTGTTTGTGATGGATGCTAAGATTGGGTTATATTTAATGTTATTCCAAACAAAGAAGCTGGAATGTGATACTGCATGCAGCCTTTTGGCCAGCAGAGCTGCAGGAGTCCAAAATAATGAGGCTTAGGTTTATAATTCCAGCATTCCATAATTCAGAGTTTGTTCAGTTGTCAAAATAATTATACCCCAAAATTGTAAGTGTTGTTACTTCCCTGGAACTCAGTAGCTTATTTAGAGCCAAACTTCAAGCAGCAAGTGTGTGTGTGGCTTTTCAGGAGTTTTTAAATCACTTTCATAATTCATTTTCAAGTCGTATTTGGGTTACCACAAAGCACAGAAAATGTTACTTGAAAGCCAGGCGAACAGTGGCTTCCTTTGGGTCTGGAGGAAGCAGAAAGCATGCAGATCTGTGTCCAAGCCGCTGTGGTAGATCAGCAGAAGGCATCTGCAGAAGGCATCTGGCATTTCCCTCCCTGACTGAGCAGCTTCTGGTGGCTTCATCTTTTTCCTGCTTAGATGCCAGCAGTTTCTCTGGGAAGCTGGGAATCAGCTGAGCATGGTGTATTTTTTCCCTTTCTTTGCCCCCGCACATTTCATAACTCTCACACCGCCGGTCTGGCGGCGATGGCAGTGGCAGCCACGTCGCGATTCATCCCCTCAGCCTCTCGCCCAGTGGTGGGGCCGGGCTGCTGCTCCGACCTACCGGCTCGGCCGCGTCCGCGTCCCCTCCGGCCCGCTAGCATCCCTCGGGGCATTTCCATGGGCGCATGAACTGCCACCTGAATTTGGCCCCGTAACTGACTTCGGTTACCTTTACGCGTTAGCGTACAAACGTTGCTAAAAGCTCAGAACATGTGTCTGTTGGTGGGTTACCTTGCGTCAAGAACTGGTTTGGTGTCGGTAAACGCTAAAGGACATTTGTGTGCATGGAAATTTTTACAGGTATCTTTCCTCTGGTATTTTGACATAGCTACTATTTTAAATACTGAAAGTATAACTGCAAATGGAATAATGGAAAAGAAGTCCAGTTTGTTTGGCTGTTTGAAAAGGATTAATTCAACTTTGAGATGAAGATTTGAGTCAGGTCTTACCTTATCTATCCAAACACAACAGTTTGTTTTTCCGGAGTATTTGTTTTTGTCTGGGAGTGCACTGAAGTGAAAGTTTTGCTTAGCAGAGGCTCAGATTATCTTACAGCTCTGAAGAAAGGAAGCAGTCAACCTTAACTTCAGTATCTTTAAGATTTAGCTGGAAAAGTCTGTCAGAGGAGCACAAGGAAATATCTTTGACTAAATCTCTTCTCACCAACGTATTCCTTCCTGCACAGAAACATGAGCTCTGCTGGCCCAGAAGGAAGGAAAAAGATGAGAGAATGTGACGGCCTGATTGATTCTCTGGTGTATTATATTCAAGGAGCTATTGCAGACCACGAGCCTAATGACAAGGTATTCTTTGAGATGAAAGTTCTTTTCCTAGGGGAAATTGCCAGGAGAATATTTTTTCCTTAGAAACCAATGTTCAGAAACTGTTGTCATGTAACTGCCAAACTTATACTTATTTCCAGGGCTTTTAGAACTGTCACCAACGATGAAACTCCAGTAAGAAGCTTCCTGAAGTGTTTTTTTATCCTGCATTCTAAAAGAATAACAAACCTTAGCTTTTGGAAAACATTTTCAGAATCACCAGAAAGAGCTAGAAACTTTTGTCTTTTTTCTTAAATGTGACATAGAGTCACAGCTTTCAGAGGTACTGAAACACCTAAAAACTCAGATATTACCTTTTTTAGTTGTCTCAGGAAGATAGCTAGAAGCTTAAAAATTAATCTGGTTACTTTCCTGTATATTTAGTGCTATCTACCCCTTAGGAAATGAAGAACCTAAATCTCTTTGGGTAGCAGTGTAATTAAGGAGCTTGCATCATTTAGAATGAAATTTATTTTCCTAAGTTTTTTATAAGTTACACGTTCTGCCTAAGCCAGTAACTACAAGGACGTGGACACCTCCAGAAGCCGGTTCCTCTCATTCTCTTCCTCCCACTGGTGACTGCAGATGCACCCTGAACATTGCTTACACTCGATGTTTGCCTTTTAGCTGGGTGAATTTGTGTGAGAAGACCAGCTGTCACTTAGGAGAAGGTTAGCCACAGCCTATGAGGCACTTCTAGCGTGCCTGTTACAACTTGTGCTGTGTGGTGGTAATTACTGCACATTTACGGCTCTATTCTAGGATTAGTTACTTGAGCTTCTTCATCTCCCTGTATTCAGTGCCATTAGCTTCAGGGAGAATCCAGTATATTACACTTGTGCCAATAGCTCCCTGCTGCATTTTGTCTTAAAACCACTCATTCCTTTTTTAACTTTCAGAAGAGGAGGAACTGGTAATAAAGCTATTTGCCACTAGACTCATCACCCAGAAATTGTAGACCTGGCCTTAGCCATGCCCAGAAAGGCACATCTAATTTAAAAAAGCATTCTACCTCAGAAAAGTGCTTCCTCCTTAGGAAAGATACAAAGCTTTCCTTTTGCTGATGCTACGGCAAGGTGTGTACGTGATCATCTTTACTCTTAAGCTCTTAAACATTCCTTGGCACACTTCTGGTCTGTGCCAAATAGCACTCGCCCAAACAATTCCCAAGCACAGTTCAGGAATTATAATGTCTCAGGACCATTTCCAACAGGCATGGACCCCGCTCTGAATGCAAGCTCTGTGTGCCAGTTGGCCTCAGTGCTCAGGAACATCCCAGGGCATGTTTAATTTATCAGTGTAAATGCTGTCTTGTGGATCACTGGCATGAAGACTATCTCTTCTGTAAGTCATTAAAAGCTCTGCAGTTAGTTGTTGAAGATCCAAAATGAAAGCTCTTCCCATGTCTATACATGTTCTTTCAATGCATGCCAAAGCTTTCAAGATTTCTATTCTTTTGTTATTTTAGGCCACAGAGAACTGTGTGTGCATTCTTCACAATCTTTCCTACCAGCTAGAGATAGAACTCCCCGAGAGCTATGCCCAGAGCATATATATGCAAAGAAGAAATATTTCTAGCAATGCTAAAACACCAGGCTGTTTTGGAACACGGAGCAGAAAAGTAAAGGAGGTAATGCCCATGTTTAGTTACATCTTGTTTTGTTATTCAGTTTTAGCAGCTTCGAAGAATAAGGCTGTAATCTACTTAACAATCTGTTGTTGATGTATCTGGTAGTGTGACACTTACTTGCCCCCAAAATGCAAATTTATCTGATAGCCTTTCCTAACGCCCGTTACCTTGTTCAGCTGCTGATGGTGACAATGACATAGCCGTTCACTGTTTCATTAGCTGAGAAATGCTGCCACTCAGCTTCATCCCCTCTGATGTACCTAGGTGGTATCTATCTCTACTATGTACGGCAATCGTGCAGGTGCCCTACCAATGAGTGAGCGCTTTGATGGTTTCACCAGTGAAACCAGCACAAGGTGACTTGCCACTTCCATGACTTGCTGGCTTCTGGGCTATCTCAGGACCTCTTCTTTTGATGCCATGTGGTCCAGATCACAAATATTCTGGCAGCTGGTAATTGTTGGAGAGAAAACATGTATCGGGGAGGGGGAAAGTGAAAGAAAAGCATTGATGACCCTTCCCCATCTATTAGTTTTGCTGGAGTGTATTCTGCCTTCTCCCATTCCAGCCACAGTACAACTCTAGCTGGCCATTTCTTTTTCTTCTTGGCCCCTGCCCCGTGTCATTCGCTGAGAGATGAGAAGCAGCTTCCACCATACCTGTCTCCTTTTTGGATGGAGTGGCCAGTATAGTTAAATACTTAAATTTTACACATTGTCATTTGAGTTCACAGCTTGATAATCTGCAAATGATCTGGTCATTGAAAGTTACAAAATGGCTAGTTTAGCTTGTGATGCATTAAGCCATATACGGTCACTGTTTCTAAAGGCTTGATCTGTTTACGTGTTTAGAAGCAGCAGGACACTCCGCTACCTGAGGAAAAGAGCAACCCCAGAGGTGTCGAATCACTCTGGCATTCCACACTGATTAGGATATATCTCTCCTTAATAGCAAAGAGTACCAGAAACTATACCCAGGAAGCATCCCTGGGAGCTCTTCAGAACCTCACAGCTGGCACTGGACCAGTAAGTCTGCTTTTTTTTCTTTTTCTTGTCGTTTAGTTCTTAGTGTGCATGCACAGAGTTTAGGGTTGGATTGCAGCACACCCACAGCACTGAGATCAAGTAACTACTGACAAGTCACTGTTTCACAGACATGATCAAGGAAATCAAAGAACATTGAAGAGAAAATCATAACTGGCAGTGCAGCTATTTCTTGCTTGGCAAATATGGGGACTGCTTCTTCTCGCTCCGTACGTCTCCACGTATGGAATTTTGCCTATCCATTGCACAATGAGGGATAAGTAGATGTTAAAAGGACAAAAAAAAGTGGGTTTGTGGAACATCATCAGTCCCATGGGAGAGGAAGGCTCTGACACAACCACAAATCACTGTCATGGTGAAGAAACTAATGACCTCTGTCATGTTTTGGCCGAAGAGCACCTGGGACAAAGAGGGCTCGAAAATTCTTTTATATCACCTTCCTTTTCTGTGGCAGCTCATATGTAAATCTGGATTAAACTATTTTGAACATGCTTAAATTGATGTAGAGAAGCTGCTGCGGTTGCTTATGAGGCTGTACATTCATGGTAATGACACGCTATCGCCACATGCCTTATAACAGATGCCGTTCGCGGTGGCCCAGACTGTTGTTCAGAAGGCAAATGGCCTTCCAAGTATTCGAACTATGCTGCACGTAAGCCACCCAACAGTAAAGAAGACGGCAATCTCACTGCTCAGGAACTTGTCTCGCAACACCTCTCTGCAAGGTGATATAGGTGAGCAAAGACATTGTCTCATGGGCTTTCTTTCTCTGTTTTCTTTGCATTAAGCTTTCCTTCTTTAAATAAAAAAGTGGAAAAAACAGTGGGTTTTTAGGTCAGATACCTGCAGTCATTACACAGGGTTGGAAATAAAGAGTTTTGCCTGAGAAAGACTCTAACCTCAAGTTTTCTCTAAATTGTGTATTCCTCATCAGATACTTCCATTGTTGTTACTTTCAGAAAATACATAATGGAAGTAAAATCTACACAGATTTAGAGAGGAAGTTTTTCTTCTGCTTAAAATAGGGTAAAGGAAGGTGAGTGCTGAGTTCTGTGCTGCCACAGCTTTGTAATCCTTTGCGAGAAATCATAGAACATCCCCAATCCTTCTGGCAAAAAAATTTTCTTCTTTTACACACAAAGCTTCGGAAGCTTGCAGCTTGCACGGTTTTCCTGCATAATTTTTTTTAGAATGGAAGCTAGAAGATGTTATAGAGAAAATCGTCCAAACTTTTTGGAGAACCTTATTCCTAAAACGTTATAATTATTTTCACATCAGAAGCCATTTCTATTCCGAGTATTTTTATTTCAATTTAATATACATTTGAGTTTTTTTCCTACTGATAGGATAAAACAAATTCACATCATTTGTTGTCCTTTTCTGTGTTCCCCTCAAAGGGGGAAGGGGAAATTACAGGCATACAGCTGGTTCATGGGGCAGATTAACCTCCAGAATTCTGCAGAACAGTCTCCTGGGCACTGTTTAATCCTTAGAGAACATTCCCTATTGATGAAAATATTGTAATATGTTGTTGGGCTGATTTCAAAGGGATAATCTGTATGGTGTTAAATATGACAAGTGGAGAATCTCCCCTGAAAGAGTAAGAATTAACCTGAGAAGAAGGATTTGGGATTTCATCAGGTAAATAATTTATGAAAGAATGCGGGAAAGACAGAAGCTTTGGAGAAAGGTGCTTCATCTTGCACGTTCGCAGTCATTTTCTTGCCTTACCCATGGTAGGAAGAACTAGGGGAACTTCAGGTGAACATTTTCTCCATGAAAAAGCACTCTTTTGGTTGACTAAAAACATGTGTGAATTCAGGTCAAATTCTCCAAATAATTTTGGCCAAAGGGAAACATTTGGAAGGGCATACTGTTTCCTAGATAAAATGGCTGTATTTATCAAGTAAAATGAACCTTTGATATGAAATTGAGATTAATTTTATATAAAACATCTCTAAAAGTTAAATGATTGAAAATATCAGAAAATTTCCGAATTTACTTGAAAAAATAACATTTGTTCTGAACAGATATTTTCAAAATGTATACTTTCTAAAAATTGCTTTTCTTGATTTATCAATGGAATAAAAAATGGGCTATCAATCATGTCTGACATAACTGCTTTGACTGATACTTAGCACAGCAGGTGGTTCATCCAGTTTTAAAGGTCTTTTTCTACATTGCATGTGATTTAATCTCAGTATACCTGAACCTTGTTATACACTCATCTGAAGGAATGAATAGAACTCACGGAGAGCAAAGCACTCTGTCCATGGGTAGGGAGGGGAGAATGGCCAATATGGCCTCACACTGAATGCAAAAGCCTCCTTCCTTTCCAAAATGCCCCAAACTATTGCCCAGTGCTACTTCTTACAGTGGGAGCAGCTGGTTACGAGCTCTTGCTGACTGCTGTAATTTTCTCTGTCAGGTCTGGTCCACACGGCACAGATCTCTGTACAGTAGGACTCAGCTGATGTGCAGATCTGTTGTTTGCTGTTTGGTTGGCTGGTAGGGTCACATCCAGTGTGGTCAATGTGATGTGGTGCTTCTTGAGCAGGGACAGACTTCAGAATGAGCCGTTGTTCTTAAATAGATAGCTTACATACCAGCTCAGAAGGTTGAGTGTGTGCATCCCCTTATAGCTGACCATTGACAAGTTCAGCAGCAAAAATTGCGCTGTAGTCACGCTTTTTCCATTTGCTGTATATCACTCTACCCGTGATGGGACACACAGGGTTCCTCAGGAAGCAGCAGCCTGCTGCTAGCACACGCCTAGGGACCTCACTACAGTGCGCTAGGTGTTAATGTATTGTGTATAAGAGGTAAAATATATACTGTCCGATTTAGTGCGGACACAGCTTAAATGTAAATTGTGGGGATGTAGTGCAGGCTTGAAACCATGACTCTGTCGTGGGAACCCACAGCACCCTGATAGGTGATAAGGGGAGGAGTAAGGTCTTGTAGGACCCCTAGACAAATCCGCACCTATTAGTAATGGCATTCCTTGTCTCTCTTCCAACTTGTAGCTAGAGAAGTTTTGCCTGATTTGGTCTCGATACTTCCCGAGTCTGTCCCAGTGTCTGATATTGTCTGTGAAACCGCAGCGTCCGTCTGCTACACCTTGTACAATTTGACACAGAGCAGTTCTCACAATGCGCGGCTTCTCCTAAGTGCTGATGGCGTACCGAAGATTATTACCATGAGCATGAATGACAGGTAAGATGATAGTTAAGAAGCCTTCCCTCCTCCTTTCCCTGGGGAAAAAAGAAACTGCAACCTCTGCTACCCAGGGCAGGGGGAAACACTGCATCTCAAGGAACAGGATAGCTTAAACAAGTAACTGTGATGTGAATAGAATTGCACATATTGGGAAATACAGAAAAATCTGTTATAACAACTGTTCCATCCACAGCTAAATTTCCCATGTTCCAGCATTTTAAATAGTTCCTCAGAAGATGACAGCACATTATTATCTATATTCTAATACATACAGTGGCTGATCATCAGATCTGTCCTGAAAGTTTTCTGTATTTCCTGTTTTTTGTAACACAGCCCTGATAATCTTTAGTAGAAAAGTGCAGAGGTACATTTTATAGAGCAGATAGAAGTGAACTTAAAAATTATTTATAAAGGAGCATTTTAGATAATAGATGTTGAATTGACTTTAATCATTATTTAATATGTAATCATGTGCAACTAATGTTTACTCAAAAGAGAACAGTCAATGCTTTGTGAGTATGAATAATTATTCTGTTTGCTTTCCTCTCTTTTTACAAAATGAAAGAAGAAATTCATCTCAGTAAAGGAGGTTTCATGAGGCTCTGAATAGTTTAAATCCTACCTAACCAACCAGAGATTTTACCTGCTGGAAAGATCCTTTCGAACGCTTATTAAGTTAACGTGTATTTTCCTCAACTGAATACGAACAGTATGATAGTTGTTCTAAAATGAAAGCTATAGAGTAATTAATTTCTCTCTAATTTCTCTCTAATTTTGAAGAATGAGTGAAGCAGGGAGGTCTGTTGCATTTGTTTCAGTACTAAGAACAGCATGAAATGTGCTATAATACCTAAAGAGCAGTAAAACAGCATTTTGGAGGAGAGACAGGTTACGTTTCCTGAAGTCTGCATGTGCACTGTGATTATGAAGTGGGAATTTAAACATGTTTTGTCATTCTTTTCACAAAATTGCAGTAATACGTTCAGCAAAGCTAGTAGGGCTGCTTCAGTCCTCCTCTACTCCTTGTGGTCACATACCGACCTCCACAGTGCTTACAAAAAGGTAAGACCTGGGTTAGAGCAAAGAAATGTAATCTGTCCTTTCAGACCTAGAACCCTCTCATTTTACCTCTGGGACCCATAGCATTTCTGCACTGTTAAAAAACAACCTACGATAGGATTTCAAGTGGTCTCTGAATTTGGTGTTTCTATTACTTGTACGTAATCCCGCACAAGTAATGCATGCCCGTAATTTTTGTTCCTCTGCATTCATATTCTCTCCTTCTGTGGTTTTATATCCACTGGCAAAGTTTATGAAAAACATCACTGCTGCCTGCCAGAAGTCTCAGATGATGAGAAGTGATGCACCGTAGGTGTCCGTCCACCACTGACTGAACCAACCTGACACAGGGGGCCTAAGGTGCCAGCAAAAGCAACGGCAGAGCAAGGCAGCTTTCTGCTTTAAAACCAGAGCAGTTTTATTCTCATTAGAATCGTAGAATCACAGGATCATAAAGGTTGGAAAAGACCTCCTAAGATCATCAAGTCCAACCATCAGCCCAACACCACCATGCCCACTAACTCATGTCCCAAAGTGCCATGTCTACACGTTTTTTGAACACCTCCAGTGATGGTGACTCCACCACCTCCCTGGGCAGCCTGGTCCAATGCTTGACCACTCTTTCAGTAAAGAAATTTTTCCTAATATCCAATCTAAACCTCCCTTGGTGCAACTTGAGGCCGTTTCCTCTTGTGCTGTCATTTGTTACTTGGGAGCAGCGACTGACCCCCACCTCACCACAACCCCCTTTCAGGTAGTTGTAGAGAGCAATAAGGTCTCCCCTCAGCCTCCTTTTCTCCAAACTAAACAATCCCAGTTCCCTCTTCTTGTTTGCATGGTCTGCAAGCCCAGGTGTTAGTTATATTCAGACAAAAGGGTAGGGCCTGGGAAAGGTGTTGGCAAACATTTAATGCCACAGTCAAAATCAAACAAAAAATGACCAGCATGAATCAGCCAACAAACCAATTTGTTTCTTTCCTTTTGAACATCTATGACTGCTTTTTCAACACACAGCTGGCTTGACTTCAAACTACCTACCTTCATCCTGCATTTCAAACTGCTTTCATTCTTTGTTTCCTTGCTGTTCAGAATTTCTGTCACCTAAAATTCCCTATAAACTAAAACTATTCCACTTCTTCAAGCTCTAGCCTTTAGCATTTTTTAGTCAACTTGTTTCTTCTTGTAGGTTTGTTGTTGAAATTTGCTCAAAAATACTAACTTAGTGTGGTATCCTTTAACAGTCTTGCATCACACTCAGCAGTATACTGCCCCACGAACCAGAAATCTGTATTCAAGAATAAGAGTGCTGTTCCCATATAAACTCTATTAATCTCTGGATTTTGTTGTCTCTGTTTTTTTGCAACTACATTCTTGACTTTACTGTGCAGCAATATCCCTGATGTCATGAATTTTTTGAAGTCACTGGTATTTTGGGTATGCCTATAAGACACCTTTGTCAGATTGAGTTTCAAAAAAAGGTGATTACTTGCTGTTCCTGTGCAAATCAAGTTCCCTAGAGATATCAGGTACAGCACTGAAAACTGCGGGCTACCTGATGCCTAGACATCTTTGAAAAGTCAGTCTACTAAGCAACAGAAATCACTTGATCAAATGAGACTGATAAAATCCTGAGTCATTTTGGCATTGCCCTGTACTCTTTGTTCAGATAGGGTTAATCTCAATTGACATTAGTCACCTAAGAGTTAGCAGTCTGTAGAGCTGAGCTAGAAGAATAGCCTCCCTGTACAACCAGTGGAGTTAAGCAGCTCCAGTGATTCATCTCACCTACCTTAGACTGAACGAGTCACTCCTGGGAAATGCCCGTTCTGTCTCTGTTGACTGTAGGGGACTCTGCCTAGACCCCTACCATGACTCCATATCTAACTTTTAGGCAGCTGAAATCACCCTTCCCTTGCAGAATCGCCACTGAAGATAATGAATTACTCTGTTTGTTTCATTCCAAAGGCTGACTTTAAGAAGGCAGATTTCATCAACACCCGGACCACAAAAGCCTATAACTCACTAAAAGATTGAATCAGATCATAACACCACTGAAGACAAATGAGATCATCCGTCAATTAACCTAACTACCTTCAAGTGGTCGGTGTTGCCATCATGAACCAGGACAGTATCTCAGAAAAAAGAGGCTGATTTTATATATAAAATTGATTTTATATATGTAAGACTTGAGTGACCAGAAGATAGCTGTTTTGTGTTTTTAGTCCTAATCACCTTGTTGTCACTGTATATATCAATACAAGAATAACCAAAGATGGATTCTTCAGGATGTTTGAGGTGAAGTTTCATCCAGGTTTACCACTAGTCAGAGCTTCACTTGACTGACTTCAGTCTAACGGGCGTTTATACAGAGAGGTTTGAAATGCTGATTGGCAGCAAATTCTTTTCAGACTGTTTTATACAGATAGTTTTCTACAATGGGTAAGCATCAAATGCACTGCTCAGGACATAGTAGTTTTTCATCTTTTTGTTTCTTTCCACATGCTAAATAAGAATCTCCAGACTCTATGAATATACACAAGAAGCTGTTTCACTACCTGCATTATAAAAGCACCAATGAAGTTAAAATTATTTTTTTTTATTGCTTGTATTCATGTGCCCGCAGGTTCTTAAGCCTCTTTTCTTTGAGATTTCATCAGTAACAACAACAAAACTGATTTTACATAGGTCTCATCACGCATTGCTCCTCTCATCCTCCCTCACGTGGCTGTTGGAATTTATAACTGTGTCCAGAAAGGGGTTTAACTAGAACCCGTATGTTTCAGACACTTCGGGCTGAACTTACATCCATCATTCTTTGCTAATTGGTGGAAGAGTTAGTTGCTGGTGATTCGATGATTGTTTTAAGAAAATTGCTTTTTCAAAACAATTCTGTTGTTCATCTATATATAGTAAAGGGATTGGAGTCTTGCCGTTATTGTTGAATACATACATACACACATACAACATATAAGGCTCTGTGCTGCTTAAGGAATTAATGTGATCCTGCTTCATATTCTCTTATTTGAAATCATCATCCTCCCTGCAGCAATCACATGCAATGTGGGATGTGAAGGACTATGTCTGCACGTGTGGGAGTAGGTAACAGGAGGAGAAAAATTCCTAAGCACCTAAAGGCTGTTCCCCTTATATGATCCTCAGAGAGGGAAAAGAACTTAAAAAACCCCATCTGATACCTTTGGTAAGCAAGATTTATCTCAACAAACCAGTAGTTAAATTGTCCATTAAAAGCAATAGGACATTCGTATATAAATATATAAAACTCTGGATTGGATTATCAGCTGACATGATCTGGCATTACTCTCCTGAAATCAGGGGAGGTAAGCTACATTTATGGCAACGAAGACTTTGGCATATGTATTTTTCAAACCTTCCTGCATGAATGGAGCCCATCCTGTACCCCCGTGCTGAACTGCTGGCGCAGGAGCTATTACAGCTGTTCTTATCCAGAAGAGGATGCATAATCCTTTGAGTAGGGACCTCACGGAGGAGATCATCAGGTCTCTTCATTGCAACACTCCTGGCCAAAGGTCTAGCTCCTACCAGAAACTTGGAACCAGCGGATTGTGACATTGCACTGTGTCCAAACATATTTCTGGATACTGGGGAGCTGAATTGTGCTGGTAGGTGCACATAGTTTCCATAGAATTCCCAGGAAGTCCCACACGTGCATGCAGAACAGAACACGTCCTGGGGAGTTAAGCAAACAACCCTGCTTTCCCATTACAGATCATTTTCATAGGTCTGTTAGTCCTCTGCATTTGCTTTGAATAACTCAAATCAAATGCATTCCAGTAAGAGGTTTTAAAAATACTGTTGTTTTTTTAAGAGGTCATTTTCAAAATACACCAGGTCCAAAAACAACACAGGGGAAGGGAACTCACAGCAACACATGTTGGGGAAATTGTTTTTATAATTTTTTTTAAATATTATAGCAAACAGACAATTAAAGTCTAACTTTTTCTTCAAATCTGTTAACCCAAGTAACACTGCATATGCCATAAATTAATAAGCACCAGAAAACCTGGACAAGTCTACTTTTACTGCACAAAAAGTAGTGGCAGGCAAAATTAATATACAAAGAGTACACCTAAATACAGAGTAGCACGGGCATGAAGAACTGCAGTCTAAAGATGAGGAAGGGGCTTTTGGAAATACTCAATATTGGTTTAGTTCTGTGAAACTCACATGCCAGTTAAAAAAAAAAAAAAACAAAAAAAAAACCACCAACAAAAGACCAATGCTGGGCATTTTCAAATCCCCTACTTAGTATATCTAACTCACGGTAAGATGTCCTTAAGAATGGGGTGGAAACTTTTTGGGTTGACAGTGTCCCTTTAAAATCAAAGCACTGTTCGGAAGTGACAAAGAAGAATATCAGACCTGGCAACAACTGAAAGCTATAAACAGGGATGAGAAACCATGACACGCCTTATTACAACTGATCTCCTACTTGTACGCAATCAAAAACATTTCAGCAG